TACAAAATTGTGTGACAATCGGACCAACTTTGGGTCTTTAGTGTATAATTTACATAAAATCGGAAGCCAAGATATATAGGAGCTATATCTAAATCTGAACCGATTTTCACGACACTTAACACACATCATTCTAGACCTAATTCACTACGCTATGCCAAATTTCGTGCAAATCGAAAGATATATAGGGACTTTGGTACACCATTCACATTAAATCGGACGAAAACATATATTGGAGCTATATCTAAATCTTAACCGATTTTCAGGAAACTTGACACACATCAGTCACGACCTAATTCATTACGCTATGCCAAATTTCGTGCAAATCGAAAGATATATAGGGACTTTGGTTCACCATTTACATAAAATCGGACAAAAATATATATGGGAGCTCTATCTAAATGTGGACCGATTTTCAGGAAACTTGACACATATCAGTCTAGACCTAATTCACTACGCTATGCCAAATTTCGTGCAAATCGAAAGATATATAGTGACTTTGGTACACCATTTACATTAAATCGGACGAAAATATATGTGGGAGCTATATCTAAATCGGAACCGATTTTCATGAAACTTGACACACATCAGTCTACACCATTTACATTAAACACCATTTACATTAAATCGAAAGAAAATATAAATCTGGACCGATTTTCATGAAACTTGACACACATCAGTCTACACCATTTATATTACACCATTTACATTAAATGGGATAAAATATATATGGGAGCTATATCTAAATCTGAACCGATTTTTCTCAATTTCAATAGGGTTCGTCCTTGGGCCAAATAAATGAGCTGTGCCAAATTTCATCCAATTCGGATCATAAATGCGACCTGTACTTTGTTTACAATTTAACATGGACAGACGGATAGACAGACGGACGGACGGACAGACGGACATGCGTAAATCTCAAAAGGAACCATGTGTCTATCTCACTTCCTTTTACCTGTTACAAACATATGTACAAAGACATAATACCCTGTACCACGTATATTAAGCAGGACTATAACATAAAATTGGATGACAAAAAAATGTGATATTTATCTAAATGTGAATCTACCTAGATCTATCCATAAAGTATGTCAATCGACTTCAAACAAATATAAATAGGTCATCCGTTGGGCTATGTCTGCACTTCTAGAAAACGCAACTACGTAATTCTATGCTCAATTTTTTAAGTTGTGCAAAATTTGATGTCAATCTGACTAACATGAGGATTTTGATGCCCAATTTACTTGAAATCGGGCGAAAATATATATGGAAGCTCTATCCAAATATTGAGCGATTTCAAACAAACTTGTCACAGGTTAGGTTATACAACTTTCAGAACGTTTTATTCCAATTGGTTCCTTAGTACGTCAATTACTTAAAATCAATCTATAATAAAAGGGAGCTATATCTATATCTGGACCGATTTTCACGAAACTTGGCAGACATCATTCTAGGCTCAATTAAGTACGTTATGCCAAATTTCGTGCAAATCGAAGGATATATAGGGACTTTGGTGCACCATTTACATGAAATCGGACGAAACTATATATGGGAGCTATATCTAAATCTTGACCTATTTTCACGAAACTTGGCAGACATCATTCTAGACTCAATTCAGTACGTTATGCCAAAATTCGTGCAAATCGGAAGATATTTAGCGACTTTGGTGGACCATTTACATCAAATCGGACGAAACTATATATGGGAGCTATATCTAAATCTGGACCGATTTTCTCCAAACTTGGCAGACATCCCTCTAGGCTTAATTCAGTACGTTATGCCAAATTTCGTTCAAATCAGAAGATATATAGGGACGTTGGGCACTATTTACATGAAATCGGACGAAACTATATATGGGAGCTATATCTAAATCTGGACCGATTTTCACGAAACTTGGCAGACATCATTCTAGACCTAAATGATTAGGCTGTACCAAATTTCGTGCAAATCGAAAGATATATAGGGACTTTGGGGCACCATTTACATGAAATCGGACGAAACTATATATGGGAGCTATATCTAAATCTGGACCGATTTTCTCCAAACTTGGCATACATCACTCTAGGCTTAATTCAGCACGTTATACCAAATTTTGTGCAAATCAAAAGATATATAGGGACTTTGGGGCACCATTTACATGAAATCGGACGAAACTATATATGGGAGCTATATCTAAATCTGGACCGATTTTCACGAAACTTGGCAGACATCATTCTAGACCTAAATGATTAGGCTGTACCAAATTTCGTGCAAATCGAAAGATATATAGGGACTTTGGGGCACCATTTACATGAAATCGGACGAAACTATATATGGGAGCTATATCTAAATCTGGACCGATTTTCACGAAACTTGGCAGACATCATTCTAGACCTAAATGATTAGGCTGTACCAAATTTCGTGCAAATCGAAAGATATATAGGGACCGTTTACATTAAATCGGTTAAATATATATATGGGAGCTATATCTAAATCTGAACCGATTTTTCCCAATTTCAATAGGGTTCGTCCTTGGGCCGAATAAGTGACCTATGCCAAATTTCATCCAATTCGGATCATAAATGCGACCTGTACTTTGTTTACAATTTAACATGGACAGACAGACGGACAGACGGACAGACGGACAGACGGACGGACGGACGGACGGACATGCATAAATCGACTTAGAAAGTGATTCTATGCATATTCTCAAAAGGAACCATGTGTCTATCTCGTTTCCTTTTGCCTGTTACAAACATATGCACAAAGACATAATACCCTGTACCACAGTGTGGTGAAGGGTATAAAAATATATATATATATATATATTGCTGATCAGGATAAAATTCATTGTGCATTAGAGGTGTCATATTGAAAATAGAGCTTTGAAATTTCGTACAATAAAATGCTTAATTCTATAACTTCTAAGATATTTGAGATGTACTTTAGGCTCTGGTTTTGACGTAACATCCATATAAAGGTCCCGCTCCATTCATGGAGGCAGGGGTATAAAAAGAACCCTTTCGATTTTGACAGGTTTTAACCAAGCTTTCCTAATCAAAGTGCCTGTAATTTGACAATCTGCGTTGTGGAAGGTGAAAAACAACTCCATAGAAAATTGGCGATATAGGGCCACGTATTTGTATAGACCCACACCATTTTTAACATCATATCCCCAATTTCCCACTGAAGTGACTATAGTTTGACACACAAGGTTCTAGAAGGGTGAACATAGACATAGAAGGTTGTACATTAGGGCAGGCTAGGATGATTCTATGGACAATTCTAAGCAACTTTGGTAATGAAACCATAGGTCTATCTCGATTTTCGAATAACTCATTTTTCAAAAAATGATTTTTTCACTATAACATCATTTTGGCTTCTTCACCAAAGTTGCTTAAAATTGATAAAAAAAATCGTATTTTGAATCAAAATTAAGTTTAAGGGAAAAATCATTTTTTAAAAAGTGAGAGAATCGAAATTCGAGATACACCTATGGTTCCTTCACCAAACTTGCTTAAAATCATCCTAGAGGTCGGTCCTATTGTACATATATATATATACGGTGTGTACATAGATACACGGTTTTCTGAGCAATGATCAGGTAAAAGTAGAAAAGGACTATCAAACCATACGTGTATTGATTTCATACCCTTGTGGGCCCTAACTAAAATGAGCGATATTTTTGTTAAATATGTTTGGGTTTTTATACCCTCCACCTTAAAACAGGGTGTTAAAAATGGAAGTGAAGAAAGAGAAAATTCCACACATTTTACAGTTTTTCTTTGACAAAGTCGTAAATGCTAGCTAAGCGGCTAAAATTGTGAGTGGTGTTTATGGTTTCGATACTGTAACAGCCAATTATGTGCAATTTTGGTTTCGTAGATTCCGTTCAGGAAGTTGACCGGCATGTTAGCAGTCGTAACATCGCTCAGGAGCTAAAGATCGACCATAAAACTATTTTAAACAATTTACAATTGACCAGAAACGGCCAGAATTGGCTAACAGGGGAGGTGTCGTGTTCCACCAGGACAACGCTAGGCCACCCACATCTACAGTGACTCGCCAGAAACTTCGGGAGCTTGGTTGGGAAGTTTTAATGCATCCGCCATACAGTCGGGACTTGACACCAATCGATTATCATATTTTTCTTATATTGCCAAATTTCTTTAATGATAACAAATTGGTATCTAGGGAGGTTTGTGAAAATCGACTAGAGTTTTTTTTTTGCAAATAGAGAGTAGGACTTCTATGAGAGAGACACAAGAAAGTTACCTTTAAAATGACAATAAATCATACAAAACGGTGCAAATTGGAGATTCCGAAGCATGTTAAATAAACTCCTATAGTTGATATAAAAATAATGGATTTATTTTACCCGAACCTAATATGTGGAAGCTATATATATATATATATATATATATATATCGAACGATATGTTGGACTTTTGTGCCCTATTTACATAAAATCGGGCGAAAATATATATGGGAGCTTTATCTAAATCTGAACCGATTTTTATGGAACTTAGTACACATCATTCCAAACTCAATTTAGTACGCCATGATAAATTTCATGCAAATCGAAAGTAATATAGGGGCTTCCGTGCACCATTTACATGAAATTGGTCGAAAATATATATGGGAGCTATATCTAAATCTGAACCGATTTTCACTAATTTCAAAAGGGTTCGCCCTTTGGCCAAATAAATAAGCTGTACTAAATTTCATCCAAATAGGATTATAAATTTGTTTACAATTTATCAGCAACAGACAGACGGAAATGCATAAATCGACTCAAAAAATGATTGTATGCATATTCTCAAAAGGAACCATGGGCCTGTCTCGTTTCCCTTTGTCTGTTACAAACATATACACAAAGACATAGTACCCTGTACAACAGTGTGGTGAAGGATATAAAACGACATGAGATAGCAACGTTAGCATGTTCCGCCCATTAAAGAGCATTATTTAAAAAATTAGTACTACAGAATACTTTATTTTTTATTATTATGTTTATTAAATAAATTATTTTATTCGTTCAAAATCCAACCAAATTCCACCATCCAATAGGGCCAAAAATTCTCTTTTATCTAATAAATTATCGTTGCGAGTTTTGGCATTAACTTTCACATGGAAATTTCTAATAATTTCCACAATAGCTGCCTTAGCTTGGGTAGCACCAAAACGCATTCCTATAAGAAATCACAAATAAAATAATAAATTACTTTTTTAATAACATCAATACCAAAAGAAATACTCACCCAAACAAATGCGTGGTCCATCACCAAAACCTAAATATTTTCCTTGTTCTCTGAATTTCTTTACTCCACCATTTTCGGGTAAAAATCTCTCCGGTATATATTCTTCGGGATTCTGATAATATCGCTCATCGTAATGTATACTGCGATAGGATAGAAAAACAATTTCACCCTTTTTCATTTCAAAAGATGATCCATCGGAATTCACAAATTCATAGGGTTCGGTGCATAACTTAGTATTCGTGGACAAGGGTGAGAATAGGCGGATGGCCTCTATAAATAGGGGAAAGAGTTAAATAAAAATTTGAAAAATCTCCCTAAATTAAAAGTGGATAATAAAAAAATAAAGTTATATTTAATGTTTTAATTTTAATAGCTTAAATCTCCCCCGTCCTACCTAATAGTTTCTATAAAAAAAACTCACCATTAAAACAAGCATCCAAGTACGGCATCTCCGAAAGACTTTCAAAACTTACAACACCCACTTCATTAATGTTGCTGAGAATTTCCTCACGTAATTTCTCCTGGGCTTTGGGATTTCTAGCCAACTAAATATAAGATGTATGAATAAAGAATTATCTCCAAGATCAGTTTTGCAGCACTCACCCCCAGCAAACAATGGGCAATACTATGTGATGTTGTCAAAAATCCATCGGTCAAAAATGTCATAGCATGTCCCGTTAAAATCACATTTGAATAATTTTTCTTCTCCTTCAATTGCAGTATAAAATTCAAAAAATCTGCACGATTAGTATTGCCTTCTTTTAGACGCAGTTCAATTGAATCGGACATCAGATTGAAGAAATACTGGGCATTCGCTTTGGTAAAGAATTTCGTTTTAATTATCTTCTTGAGGTTGGGTATGAAGGCAACAGTAATTTGATACGCAATCTGTGAGGGTGTTAGTTTGAAGATGTTTTTGATTCTATCTAGAAAACTGGACGGTTTATCGTTTAACGTTCCAATGTGTATTCCCAAGACGCAAGCACTCACCACTTCTGTGGTGTAACGTAGGAAAAGCTGTTTGGAAAAAATATTTTGAAAATTAATACTCTTTACATCTTCATATTCTCCACCATTTGGTGGAGTTTAATATGCGGGCTGTGTCATCGTTAATTCGGTTCCAGCATATTTATACCCTACACAACTATGTTGTCAGGATATTATAGCTTAGTGCAGCCCCAAGAGTTTGTATCGCCGCGAAATATTGGTCCTAGACCAACCTTCAAGTATACCGATCGTCATATCTCGACTAGCTGAGTCGATCTAGACATGTGTGTCCGTCCGTCTGTCCATTTTTAATTTGTAAACACGATACAAGCCACAGTTATGGACCAATCTTCACGAAATGTTGCATGTAGGATGGGTTCTGGCTAATGAAAGATCGGATGGTAAAGATCGGTTAATATTTAGGGGATGAAATGAACCAAATACTAAATTTTTTCGGATTTCTGGTCGCTCCAGAGGCCGCAATTATGGCCCGAACATCGTGAAATTTTACATGGAGAGGGGGATCGGGCCAAAGAATAAGCATGCCTGTTTTGATAAAGATCGGTCAATATTTAGCGTGTCAAATGGAACCTGATTATTATCGTATGTTCTCGGATATGGGAGTTACACATAAATATTTGCAGGTGCTTACGTAATCATATGTTTTTTGTAACCCTTTACCACACTAGAGGGCAGATATATAACACTGATCGATTTAAAATTTTCCATGGGGTTCCAGATATGATCAAGGACAGCGCTTAAATTTTCGGTGATGACCAGATAATAATTTTGGGATGAAGTGGGCCAAAAACTTAATTTTTTGCAATTTTTCGAATCGATCTATAGGCCACAGTTATAAGGCTATCATCACCATACAACCCACTCTGTAGTCAATCTGGACAAGTAATAAGAAGGGCTGTACTGAATATTAGTAATATTCGGAAAATATGTCAGTGTATTGAAGATGTGCTGTTGACCTTTAATCGGGCAAGAGGATGCAAATGTCACGGAATATTTCCCAGGCTCGGACTGCACTTCCTTAGAAAGTTAGAACTCTGTCGTAGTTGTGTAGGGTATCGTATGGTCGGCCCCGGCCCACTATACTGCTCCGCTCACTGGTTTCAATTTAGGTTCATGTTCCCTAGTATGGTCATCAATGACTATCGGTATTTTCAAATTCCCAAAGTTTTACAACCTACAAGCAGCCAATTTAGAAAGACATAGTCTCGATATAAAGGTGCCGATCGATTTAAAGGCTTTTAAATGCACATTACAAGTTGGTGGCTCGAATTTTTAGTATTAAAGTATTACAACTTTTTGCTTACCTCATAGGCTCCTATACCCTTTTTATTGTGTTCTTCAACCTGTTGCCTTACGAAATCCGTTAAGCGTTTACATATCTCCAGTGTTACGGGATAGACATTTTTTATCTGGAATTTTTAATAAAAAAAGCTAAAATTAAAAAAAAAATGATTTAAAAAAAATTCCAATCATATTTACCCGATTTGGTGACATTCCCGGCACTACCTCAGTGCGTCTTTCCTTCCATTCTTCTCCTTTTAAGATGAAAGGATTATTTGCAAGAATTGTATCGGATTTTTCGTCAAACTAATTAATAGGGGGAAAATTAATTATTTAAATTGTCATATGTATCTTCATAATACTTACCGTATCGCCAATGGCATTGTCATGAAAATGTTTAAAATCATTAACAAGAATTCGATGCACAAGCTCTGGATCCAGTACAAACAATTGAGGTTCTCTGCCATTGTAGACACCAACGTATTTATTTGAGCTGCGATATTTTCTAAAGAAGAATCAATTGAAATAAGAATTTCGTTCATTTAGGACATTCAAATGAATTATTAGGGTAGCCAATACGGCTAAATTTGTAAAAATTCCAAAAATGGGAAGTGGAATGGGAATATGGAATTCAGTTAAAAACATGGATCTATATTGAAATTTGGACCAATATTGATTATTCTATATATAAGAAAATTAACTACCCAATGTGCTTCCAAAATATCAAATTACAGCTATATAGATTGGAAAAGATACCCAAAAACCTCATACCATTATATGGGAACTTGAGATATTACGCAGGGAGATTTTCTACTGAATGAGAACCCCTAATATCAAATAAGAATCTACTCTTTTAAAAAGCGTGCCCAAAAGCATCAAAATATCGAATATTGTGGGGTAGTGCTATATGGTGGGCTATTGCTATATATAGGCTATTTGGTACATCATTTACATAAAATCTGACGAATATATATATATATATATATATGAGAGCTAAATCTGATCCGATTTCAACAAAACTTCGCATTCCTCTATCGGCACCTAACTCCGTACATAGCGCTAGATTTTGTCTCAATCGGACAAATATTGGGAGTTTTGTGCACCATTTACATAAAATCTGACGTTCGGGAACATAAAACTTGACCTACGTCAGTACACTGTACAAAATTTTGTTTCAATCGGACAAATATTGGGTGTTTGGTGCACCATTTATATAAAATCGGACGAAAATATATATGGGAGATATATCTAAATCATAGCCGATTTTCTCCATTTGCAATATGGGCCAAATAAGTGAGCTGTGCCAAATTTCGTCTAAATCGAATCATAAATGCGATCTATACTTTGTTCACAAGAATACATGGACAGACGGACGGGCATGCATGTATCAACTCAGAAAGAGATTCTATGTATATTCTCCAATGGAACCATGTGTCTATCTCGTTACCATTTGCCTGTTACAAACATATGCACTAAGACATAATACCCTATACCACAGTGTGGTGAAGGGTGTAACAATAGGGGTCTTCATTGCCCAGAACCCATCCTACATGCAAAATTTCGTGACGATTGCTTCATAACTGTGGCCTGTATTGTATTTATAAATTATAATGGACAGACGGACGAACTAACAGACACGTATGTCTAAATCAAACAATTTTTCTTTAAAACTCGTCTTTGCTTCACATCAAAACACTTATCAACCATGTCTACTATACCTGTAGACCTCATCAACATCGTAGACAATATTGCGTTTCTGGGTAAATAACGATGGAAATGTTCCAATTCCTGGATATGATTTAGCCTCTGGAACACCACGTTTCTTCCAACTGCCTAAATTCCATATAAGAAATGCATAAAAGGCTCCGAGAGCACCAATAAAGAGACTCAGTGTCACAAGCCAAGAATACATGATCACTTGGTGAGCCTTTTTCGATAATCACTTGGTGAGTTTAAAAATCGACGTAAATTAATAGGAAACAGCACACAACCACACGCAATCGCAATTTATTTTCAACGAAAACAAAACGTTTAATGAATTAAACAACCGTTAACCTTAAACACTTAATATGAAATGAATACTGCACCCTGAAACCATCTGTTGATGTGACATCGAATTTTAACTCTCCTATCTTGTTTATTATTCTCTTCAATTGTAATTGAATAAAATATGACGAAGACAAACACTGCTTGTGGGGTATTCCGTTATCAGTTAATATTCTTAAATGACTTGCAATATCCGATGCAAAAAAATTGCAGTATAAATAGATACGTTTTGTAAACAAAGTCCAGAAGCCACAACCTTAAGGTTAATGAGATAATATACCAATGTGTATATATATGACAAAAAAACTCTTTATCGAAATATCGATATTAGAACCCAATGTTTATTTCGATCAAACTCTTAGACAATTTGGAGTCTTCAGTAAACATAAATAAAGACCAGATATGGACAATAAAATTGCTCAACAACGAAACATGGACTGCGACTAAAGGCCTACAAACGTTAGGATAAAATATAAACTGAGGGTATAGTCTGCCGCCAACATCGGCTAACACTTTTTAACTAGTCGTAGTTGTAATATATTGGATAGAAGTATAAACTGGATAGTTTTTATGGAATATCCCATACAAAACAAACCCCCAAAATGGCATATGCAATACCGACATACAATTTCATTGTGAAAACTCTAAAAATAAATACCATAAATAATAAATGTAGAGAGTATGACCACTTGAAAATTACCCGGTAAATACTTGTCATAAAAAGTAACAATAAAAATGTTATTATCAACCGAGGCGCACAAAAATATTCAACTAAACAAATCAACCTAAACACATCTAAATACAGGTCGCATTTATGATCGGTTCAGATTTAGATATAGCTTTCCATATACTTTTTTGCCCGACTTTTTAAATATGGTACACTAAATCGCAAAACTCGATTGAGTTAAATTTTTGCAAAGCATACTGAACTGAGTCTAGAAAAATTCAGATTTGGAAATAGCTCTTATACATATTTTCGTTCGATTATATATAAATTGTGCACCAAAGTCCCTATATTTCTTTCGTTTTACACGAGATTATTCATAACATATTAGATTGAATCGTTGAAATCGGTTCAGATTAAGCTATAGATCCCATATATTTTTTTCTTCCGATTTACTTTTTTATACCCTTCACCACGCTGTGCATATATTTCTAACAAGCAAAATGAAACGAGATATAAACAAGTTTCCTTTTGAGAATATGCATAGAATCACTTTCTGAGTCGGTTTATGCATGTCCGCCCGTCCGTCTGTCTGTCCATGTTAAATTGTAAACAAAGTACAAACCGCATTTATGATCCAAATTTGAATGAAATTTGGCACAGCTTATCTATTTGACCCAAGGACGAACCCTATTGAAATTTGGAGAAAAATCGGTTCAGATTTAGATATGGCTCCCATATATATATATATATATATATAAAAATGAATTGCTGTTCGTTAGTCTCGCTAAAACTCGAGAACGGCTGAACGGATTTTTCTTATCTTAGTCTTAAAATATTCGTAGAGCGTTTAAAAATCGCGAAAAATTTGCAAAAAAGAAAAAATATTATGACAAAAAATATTATGAAAAACAATGTTATGAAAAAATAAATATTAATTTGTCAAATATTGAAAATATTTTATTTTATTCAATTGGCATTGTAACGAAACTTTTTTTCTGAGAATGCAAAACAATAATTGAGATGAATTCGCGATCATTGTATGTACACGTTTTCCATAAAATTCACGTACATTTTGGAACAAATGCAAGGATGAAAATCTGAAGATTCAGAAAGAGTTCTGATTCTAAGACACGTGCCCTAGATTATTCTTCTTGAAAATAATAATAATAGGAACACAGTATCGAAAAAGGTGGATTACTATTACATGGGGGATATTTGAAACCTTGGGCGAACATAACATGGCAGCCAAATACCGAATATTAAGGGATGCCGTTAGATGGGGATATCCGAATACTTGAGTCAATATGGAAAATTCTAATTAGGGAGAATTTCTGCCCAATAAGTATCCCTAATATTAGGTTTGGGAAAAAGAAATCCATTAGACCGGTGGAACGATCGAATTTTACAGGCATGACGTAACATCGTCCAGGAGCTAAAAATTAAACCATTCACACAAAGCTGGATTCAAAAATAAGCTCAATGGTTGGGTGCCTCACCAATACCAATACCGCAATTTCAGAGCACTATCTTAAATATTATTTAATATTGGGCTATCGTTATGTGAATTATACATCAACAATATTGCTATGCAAGACAACGTTTGCCGGGCCGGCAATGTTGAATGTTGAAGTGTTCGTGGATGTTCAGGGAAGGTTTAAAAGGTGAGAAAAATTTGAAAATCGCGAAAAATTTGCAAAAAATATTTTGAAGCATATTTGCATTTCCGCGAATTTAGTATCGAGCTATATGGAAAGCACCACGTCGTAGTTCTTATTTTGAGGTATTTTGAGCGAAAATTGGTAGCGTATCATTCCTTTAAGCATACATTTGTTATTTATTAAAATTTTTCAAAATATTTAATTTTTTTTAAATTGGATTGACATTGTATTGAAACATTTTTTTGGGAGAATACAAAAAATAATTGAGAAGTATATTATTGAATGCACACGCGATCATTGTATTTACACGTTTTCCATAGAATACAGGTACATATTGGGACCAATGTAAGGATGGAAAATCAGAAGACATTCTGAATCGAGTTCATGGCCATTCAGGATATTCGGATTCTAAGATCCATGCCCTAGATTAATATGTTTGAAAATAATAATATGAACATGTTGTTCCTTAAAGTAAATGAAATGTTGATATGCAACGGGAAATATGAAATCAGGTGGTTAAATGCCTAATCGTTTTTCAATATCTTTGAACTTATAAACAGACCACGTCGCATATATCCCATACCAAAAATGTGTATCACAGAGAAAACTAATATACCAGATATTTTCTTTGCAAAAATCTATCATTAAGTTCAGCTGTAAAGAGAACAACCGACAAAAAACCAGCAAAATTAGAAAAATAGCATAATATCTAATTTGATGGTTGTACCGAAACCTCCATCCGATGTTACCTATTCGTATTGAACATGCTAACTACCGATCACACTCAGATTGGAAAACGGGAGTAAGAACCTTTAGATATAGTGCATAACTTCTGGGATGATGTTATGCCAAATTATAGCCAACTCTATGAGAAGATTAGGTCAATGTATTGAAAATGGGGCGAGACCTGTATGTATTACAGCTAATTTGGTTGAAACACGTGTCCAAACAAAATACAATGGAGTGGACCAATATTGACAATTTTAAGTAGGGTTCATGCTACCAAATAAAACAACCAATTACAGCGGATTAGGTTGAAAAACGTGCCCAAAACTCCAAAAATGTGGAGTGCCATTATATGGAGGCTTTTCCGAAGCTTGCACAATTTTTTAAGGAACATTTTCTGCTCAATGATCATGTAATATATAAAATTAAATGAAGGGATTACCTGGATACTTGCCAATATTGATAATTTTAAGTACAGATATTCTGTTGTAAACCGTGCCCAAGATCTTCAAAATATGGAATGTTTATTGCTACCGTTATATGGGCAGTACTCTGAAATATGTGCCAATATTGATAATATTTGGTACGGATATTTTCTGTTCAATTACAACCCATTCTGTTGAAAAATCGTCAAAACTTCTCATATTGCGAGGTACGGTTATATGGCTACCCTAAATAGTGAACCTAGGAGTAGTAGCAATGTATGTGCAAATTTCAGAGCACTATCTCAAATCGTGGAGGGTAGAAAAAGCTAACTTATTATTGGCCTATCGTTATGTGAATAATACATCAACAATATTGCTATGCAAGACAACGTTTGCCGGGCCCGCTAGTATATATATATATTTTTTTTTTTTTTTTTTGTCCGATTTAAAGTAAGTGGTGAACCAATGTCCCTATATATCATTCTATTTAAACGAAATTTGGCATACCGTACTGGCAGAAGTCTAGAATGATGTGTGTTAAGTTTCGTGAAAATTGGCTCAGATTTAGATATAGCTTCTATATATATATTCTTCCGATATTTTATAAATTGTGCACTAAAGACTCAGCGTTTTTCCGATTAGCACAATTTTTTTGCAATGTACTGCTATAAATCGATTTACTCAAATTTGTCCCATTGTACACAAACGACTCTAAGTCTGCCCGAATGAAATGAAATATAACATAGGTTGCAGAAAGGCATGTGTATGGATTGATGAAAGTCGGTTCACGTATATCCCTACGGTCAATAACCGGGTACATTTGTACCTTTTTTCGAATAAAATGCTGTAAAATGTTCAATAGTGGAGACATTTGGATCAAATTTTGAGGAATCATTGTTGAGGTATTTTCACCCATAATTGAAGAAAAAAAATGTAAATATTTTCCATATATATAATTTTTTTAAAGTTATTACCTACGTAGATCAATAACCGTGCCATATTTGTACCCACCTAAAGATAACGCTGTAATTTATTAATAATCGCTTGTCGTGGGGTTTTTATACCCTTCACCACACTGTGGTACAGGGTATTATGCCATTGTCCATATGTTTGTAACAGGCAATATTTGCTTTTGAGAATATGCATAGAATCGCTTTCTGAGTCGATTTATGCATGTCCGTCCGTCCGTTGGTGTTAAATTGTAAACAAAGTACAGGTCGCAATTATAATCCGATTTGGATGAAATTTGGCACAGCTCATTTGTTTGGCCCAAGGACGAACCCTATTGAAATTGGGAAAAATCGGTTCAGATTTAGATATAGCTCCCATATATATTTTCGTCCAATTTTATGTAAATGGTGCACCAAAGTCCCTATATATCTTTCGATTT